GGAGAAATTCTCCACTCCAGGCTATCACTTGTTTACAGTGAAACCAATTTCCATAAGAGGTGGTTGACTATCCTTCCTTGGAGATTTTTAAGCTAAGGTTCTAGTTGAGATTCCTATATTGCAGGGCGTTGAACTAGATCAGGGGTCTGCAATCTTTAAGACAAAAAGAGCCACTTGGACCGAAGAAAAAACAACTGGGAGCCGCAAAACCATTGCGACATTTAAAACAGTGGGGAGTGTCAGGGCACACAATGCGCCTCCTCCCCATGCTAGTATCCGCCCCGGAGCCGCGGCAAAGGTGTAAAAGAGCCACATGCGGCTCCGGAGCCGCGGGTTGCTGACCCCTGAACTAGATTACCCTCACAGTCCCTTCTAACTCTACACTGTATGATTTTGTGAAATCCTAAGAATACCAAATTGCTTGAAAAGTGAGCAAAGCACATGAATGCTCCACTATGGCAGCAATCCTGTGCATTCATGCATGCTTTGTGCAAAAGTTTCATAGAACTAAGTGGCACTTGCCAGGATAAACATACTGAGGGGTTGGTTTGGTGGTGGCATTCACCTTGATGCATGATCGAGTGCACTGACAAAAGCAGTAATAGACGTTGGTTAGAATTAACCTTCAACAACATTTTTGTGCTTGCACTCTGAGAAATAGCACTCCCCTGGAAAAGATGGGAGAAGCATGTGAAAGCTTTGATCTGTGCCGGGTTGACAATATTGCATGAAGACTGGCAACTTGACAAATGCTTCCAAATATATTCCTGCAATCATTAGAATGAGAAATCTTGCTTTTTTCAAAGATAGAGTGCTCACTAGATTCTGTGTAAATTTTTGCACCATGGATTGCCCACACATTAAATTCCCTGGTAGCAGTTCACCTCCCACAGTTTTGGAAGCTGTTAAACCAGGTTGACTTGCAAGAGCATCACCATTTCCTTTTTATACTATCTTGGATTTATAATGTTGGCACAGTTAGATGCTTGTTACGTTGCAATGGGAGTGATTTGTCTTTTTTGCAAGAAATTGTCGAGGCAGCAAACTGTATGTTGCTCCTTTTCTGTAGCACTTAAAAACATTGATCACAGAGAGACCTTTTATTTTGAATTTATTTTCAGCCTATCTACAGATAGTTACTACACGTACCATATGTAAACCACAACATGCACTGAGCTGTGTCTCCCTGCTGTACTGTTTTTATATGAATGGCTGTGCACAAGCATGGAATTTTATGCTTGGCACAGAAATCTGTAACCCAAGCACTTTAAAAAAATGAAAAGTGTTATCAGTGTTCTTGGCCTTATGGGGATGGCAGTAGGTTCAAAGGGATAGCTAGATTAACCTCAGAAGCAATTCATAGGATTGTTAGTGATCAGAAGCCAGGGCTTCAGAGACATCACCCAAAAATTAAACAGCAATTTCTGAAGTTGACTTGAGAACTGCTGAAAGCAAAATGCAGATAAAAATAGCATGGGCATACCAGGAAGCAGCTTTGCCTAAAGCAGCTCTCATGCCAAAATGCCCTTTGACTTTTTAAATTCAGGGGTTATGGGGGGTTCTACATGGGGAAACTGTTTCAATGGGATTTCGTGAGAAGTATCTAAATGGGAGGGGGTGCACACGCCTTTCGTTCCCTGTTTGTCAGTTTGATACTGACGGCTCTGCAGCACTAAGGCAGAACTAGTGCCGTTTGTGATGCATTTTTAATTATTTCATCAAAACTGAAGTAACTTGGCACAAAAGGAAGTTCTATGCTTTCCCTTCATTGAAGTTCATTGAGCTATTTTTTATCCTTAAAAACACTCTTGAAACAAATTAGCAGAGACTGGGAAAAGCAAGGTGGGCAGCCTTGAAGCATCCCTCAGGGCATTTACCTTTTTACAGAAGAATTTTATGTTTAAGTGTTTTATGCATCAGCTGGGATTGAAGAGGCAAAAGATATTAACAGACATGGAAGTTCTGTTTGTTTTCCAGCACAGAGTATGTCAAGCTGCTTTTGTTAGTGCATGCTAAATGAAGCCTTTTGGCAAATGTCCACTTTTCCACTAAGGGAGGGGCACAGCTGTTCTAAATGGAGGGACTTTGTTAGGCTTAAATGCTGAGGCACTTGCATGTTGGGTGTGCATAATAGGATTTGTCGGTGGAGCGATAGAAGAGCAGAGCTAGTTACTGTTACCAAAATGGACTGTTTACTTGGACTCCTCTACTTCTCCCCACCCCACCCAAAAATCCACCGCCAACATTTTTGGATAACAAAGCATTGAGCTAGTGAAGGCTTCAAAGCATCTGTAAATCTCTGACCTTCTAGATTGCAGCTGTTCTTCAAGGGTAAACTTGAGGTGCCCTTTGAAAATTATGAATGTAATAAATACAGTAATAAGTATAGGGAATTGTTGCCAGGTGGGCCACAGAGAATAGGTACTTGAATCTGCCTAGTGGTTACTATTTAACTTGATTATAAGCTTGTGGGTTTCACAAGGCCCTTCAGATATTAAGCCATCCCATGCTACTCTCATAAAAATCTGAGGGTGTTTTCTGTTTAAAAAAAAGCAACCCCAAAGTTCACATGTGAGGTTTTTTTTTGTGATGTAAGCAAGTGTGTGTATGTGGGGAAGGAGAAAAAGAATGGTGCATCATCTGAATGCAGTTGAACATGTGATTTGGATCCAAGGGTCTCTAGCATGACTGAAATGTCACTTCAACTCATGTAAGGGGGCAGAAAGATTGTCCTCTGAGCCTCTACACCAGGCATGGCCAAAATTGGCCCTCCAGATGTTTTTGGGACTACAATTCCCATCATCCCTGACCACTGGTCCTGTTAGCTAGGGATGATGGGAGTTGTAGTCCCAAAACATCTAGAGGGCCAAGTTTGGCTATGCCTGCTCTACACAATATCCCACAAGGTAGGCTTTTCATAAAGCACTGAGCTGCAATCAGGAAGAGAGAGCAAGATAGTCCCATTTCATGAGTAGGGCACTGCTCACGTGTCTTGCTATCTAAGCTGCAGTATATGCTTTTGGGAGAAGCATACTTTTAGACTTCAAAAAAGTTATCTGCACTCTTATACATATTGGCATTTGTCAGGAATAAAAAGACGTCATTCAGCTGAAATAACTGATCAAAATCCATGTTTCTATTGGGTCATCTTATTTACTCAGGAAAAAATTTATTGGATTGGACTGTTTTGTGTATATTGGACTTCAAAATGCTTGTCTTTGTGTTTCTTTTATTCTTGCATCCCCATGGTCCCCAAGACTGCAATCTAAGAAAGCTCCTTTCAGGATGTTGCCCCCAAAGAAATACATAAAGTAACATAAAGTAACTATCTGTAAAGTACCTGCTTCTTAGAAGTATGAGAAACAGAAAATCTGAAAATAGTTTAGTGCACTAAAAACATTGGGAACCCTATTTCCACATCTGCCTTTGAGTATCTACCTCATTTTAATGCTAAATTGCACAGCCAACCATAGAAGTTGTAGAATAGCTTAAAACTTTACCTGCAGTGCTTAAGACCAGGAGGCAACTCATGGTTTAAAAAGAAAGAAAGAAAAGGAAACATGGCCCTTTATTAAATTCTGGCCTGAACTTGTGCTGTTCTGAATCAAACAGTCTTAATAAGATACCTTGCATAATCCATTCTCCTAGACAAAATTGTGCTTAACTTAATGGATTGAAACACATGTTTTGCTCTTTCCCAGCAGTTTCAGCAGCAGGTGCCTGATGTCGTCGAAGTTCAATCTTTCTCCAATGTAAGAAACCTGCAAAACTTTGCCTAATCTGGGAAGCAGGCTGACTGCTGGGGTTGCTTAGTGTGCAGTTATTTTCTGCTTTCTTGGTGTTTGTGTTTTTCCTTTGCTGGGTTTTGAAAACATTTGAGTCTGTTCTGGTGCTATTTGTAGAGTCCTATAAAAGTCAACGTGCTATATCAAACATGTTGTAACTCATACGATTATTGGATAAAAATGCTTTTTCCTGCTGGAGGTCTTTGACATTTAGACATTATGCTACAAGCTTACTTCTATAAAATCATACTGAGGGGATGTGAATTTAATGACAATTTTTTAGAGGTAGCCCATAGAGGACCCTAAAAAAATGAGAGGAGTGGCCTTTCATTGCTTTTGAAAAAATTGCTAAAACAAAGCTGTGGTGTCTTAGCAGGAGTAAATCTAACCTATTGCTACTTTTGATGTTTTACTTGTTGTAGTGCAATTAATGTGCATGGTACTTGCCTCCCCCCAAAGTTTACAATCTAAAAGTTGATGCAGGAGAAGTGAGATGAACAGGGAAAATAAATGATTGTGTCTGTTAAATGTCCTTAGGCATTTGCTCATAAGAAGCAGTTCTACATTAATTTGGTAATTTGTCAGGGATGTCATCTTGAGATTCAGTCTTCTCTTTCATAGTAAGTTGATTTTATTGTGGTAGCATAAGATAGCAGATCTTATGAAGAAATACCACAGAAGTCTATTTCCACTGCTGTTAAAGTGCATCTTAAACTTGATAACTTAAATGAGATGTGCAGCAACTTGATACGTCAAGGTTTGTGGGTTGAACAGTGCGGAACTAAATGGAGTATTAGATATCATTGTCTTGCAGAAATTGGGCATAAACCCATCAACACCATTTGCCATCCATGTCTATTCCTAGACAATACTCCTAGGTCTTTGAGCATACAAACAAACCCAAAGAAGCTCCTCCTCCTCCTCCTTCCTCCAGGATTGCACAATAAGTGCCTGGGCATCAAACTCTGTAGGCTGAAGATCTGCTTAGATCCAGTTGCAGATGGGTAGCCGTGTTGGTCTGCCATAGTCAAAACAAAAAAAATTCCTTCCAGTAGCACCTTAAAGACCAACTAAGTTAGTTCTTGGTATGAGCTTTCGTGTGCATGCACGAAATCTGAAGTATCTGAAGAATACTGAGGTATCTGAAGAAGTGTGCATGCACACGAAAGCTAATACCAAGAACTAACTTAGTTGGTCTTTAAGGTGCTACTGGAAGGAATTTTTTTTGTTTTGATCTGCTTAGATGTTGGTACTTAAGACCACTTGTCAAAGTACTTTTTAAAAGATGTAGAGGTGGTTAAAAAAAATAATCAAATCCAGAATGTGGCATTGACTGCAACAATGGATTCCTTTTTTTGAGATGTAAATGCTTGGGAGGATCTACATGAACCTGTAGTTCAGTTAGATTGACTGGCTTCTCTCTTCCTGGTTGAAATGTACTTTAGAATACTGCTGCTTTCTGTTCATGTTTTCCAGCTCATCCAAATGTCTTTGCAGCCTTTCAGTAGAAGCAACTTGGTATTGGGTTATTTGCCTTGAAGGTTCTCTTCTTAGCTGGAGTGGCATATTCTTTATTGGTAGTGGGGAGTTTCTGTATTTTAAGGTGAGATCAGAGGAATAGATTATTCTATAGTATGAACAAATGTTATCACTTTCTTGCTAGTTATCAGCTTGGTAAGATGCTTCTATAGATTTCTCTCTCTTATATTTACCATGAATTTATTATTTCCAGACAACAATACAAATCTCTTGGATGTGTACCTTTATACAATTATAGGATTAAGAAGCTCTCTAGTCAGGTCTTGCTCAATTATCACTAATAATTTCTTATGTTTTTCAGATTGAAAAAATAATGAGCTCCATTGGTGAAGGCATTGACTTTTCTCAGGAACAGCAGAGGATTTCAGGTACCATACTGAACTGCTAAAGGGTGTGAGTCAATTCAAACAAGTGAGAGAGCAGCACAAATAGTTGGGCCCATTTGGGACTTACCATTGAGGAACCTTGTATTTCTCAACCCATAGTTGAGATATTCAGCTATCTTAAGCCTTCCCTTTAAGACCAGAAATCCAGATAAGAGGCAGCAATTTGCTATTCTGCAGTCCCTAATTAGATGGGGATATCCATCAGTATTTATCTGCCTGCAGAATGGCCAAGGTTGGGGATCCCCCTCGAGTAAATTTGAGGGTGCAAGGTTTAGAGCTGTACAAGGGAGAAGAGAAAGCCAGCTTTCATGATATTGGATTATCACCCCTCATGCTTAATTTAATGGACTGGCTACCCCTACCCCTTTACTACAACTCCACTTTCACTGCTGCTGATACCATACATTTTATCTGACCCCAGTTTTGCCTTCCTTCACTTATTTATATATTTGTTTGTTTGAGTCTATTCATGAATTACTAACCATAAAGTATCTCAAAATGATTTCACACACTAAAAAAAAATCATATATGAAAATAGCTTTAAATCCAGTACAGATTCAGACTAGGATAAAGAGCTCCACTTAAAAGGCTTGTTGAGGAAGGAAGCGCCCCTATATTTTGTTATGTGCTGCACACAACAGAAATGGGCTCTGTGTTCAGAGAGTTTACAATCTTTGGCGGGGTTAAGCAAAAAGAGACTACAGGGTGAGATGCAGCAAGAGCAGGGCTTAAAAAAGACACAGTACAATGGATTCCTTGTAGTTTGATCTGCTGCCGTTTTTCTACTTAGGTCTATTTGGCTCTTTTTTCCCTTTCCTTTTGTATGGTTTTTATATTGCATTTTTAGACATTTTAAATACTCAGAAAAAAAATACCGTCTGTAAAAAAAAGAGGAGAAAGGGGAGAGGAGAGGTGGGACACAAAGCACTTTTCAAGCAACCTTAAACTATCAGTATAAAGGGCCCATATGTCTGATAATTTCCTGGCTTGATTTCATTCATGAAAAATCACTTTCTGGATCTTGATTCTTGCATGTACATGAGCTAGAGCCCCACTTGCCCTGGGAAAAGATGCCTTTTATACCTCTTTCCTCAATCCCTTGCCGTCTTTCGTGGCAACCTTGACTGAGACTTTCTGACAAAGGTGGAAGACTGCATCCTAGTTCTGCTCCCACCCCCATCTTCTCCAGCCTTCAACAGTAATTTGTAGCAACATGAAGTCCTGAAGGTGGCATCTTCAAGTCATTGAAAAAGCCTTGCTGTAGTAATTAAAGCACCATTTTCATCAGATTGCTTTAAGGAGTCTTGTAGTCTGGGGCAAGAGGAAGGGGAATAGCAAGGTTTTTTCAGCAATACTTCCTCATATAAGGAGTAGAGAATAAGTGATTTTTAAATTATCAGCAGTTCATCTTTGGTTAAACCTTGTGGCAGCTTGTGGAATATTTTAGTACGGTGTTCAAAAATGTGATGCAGAACAAAGCAGCAGTGACAGCCCATGGCAAAAACATGAAAACATTCAGAGGTGCTGCAGCAGACTGACTTGCTTTTCAGAAAACTACCAGAAATGTTCCAAGTTTTTACAGCTCATTAAAGGGTGCTAAAATAAAATAAAAAAACCACACATTTACTTCCACACCTGGAATGGAAGCATGAAGTAAGAATGTGGATTGAAATACAGCTACAAGCTGTAAGCTACTTAGTTCTGATAACCCCACAGGTCCTCAGAGAGAAGACTGTTATACCCCCTTGCTTGCCCCACCCAGTTTTGCAGAAGCATTTTTAAAAATCTTAAATGAGCCTAAAGTGGTGAAGAAACCACAGAAACAGTCCAGTGAGGACTGATCATATTCAGTAGCCAAGGAATTTTTCAAAGAAAAAAAGCAGGAGGAGAGAGAAAGTGGCATGCCCTGTTTGGATGAAATGGCTGGCTGGACCTCTGAACAAAGAACTTGTATTAGGAGGGAGGGTACACCGCAACATATTGTTGCAGTTTCCACTTTTTTTTTTTACGTTGTAAAGCAAATTATTTTTACAACAAGTAAAGATAACAATATAAAGAAACAACTCTTAAAGAATGCATTTTGGAAATAGGTTATTTTTCTAAGATGAAGCAATAAATACACCATTCACTTTTAAAACTTTCTCCCCCCTGGTTGAGAACTTAAAAAAACAAAATCCATGCCAGGCCAAACAATATAAGTATTTTGCTGGGTATATCTTTCATATTTGTAGCAGACAACATAGAAATAAATATGTAGTGCTATACATGAACCTAGAAGCCTCATCTGATACCACAGACTTTTCAAAAGTGTTGCATTGACCTATATGTTAATGGAACAGCTTATATAAAAAATTTTATAGGATCTTCTACACAAGCAATACAATACAGGCCAAGCACCTAGTAATCTATGCAGAAAAGACTGCAAGGTGGGAGTCACTTATTTCAATGTGGGTATTAAAGAAGACCAGTGTGTTTATGTTCATTGATCTTCCTTGTTTGGCAGAATTGCTTTTTCTGTAATTTGGTTGATGCAGAAAAATGTACTTTCTGGCAAATCAGTTAAACTAAAACAGATCAGAGGTGCATTTGACTGCCATATATAATTTGCTTCTGTCAGTCGTCGTCAGTCCCCCCCCCCCAGGCACTCCATAACGCTGTTCTGATTATTTGTTTATTTAAAAATATAAATTTATCAGCAACCTTTCATTCTTGCTGGCCCAGTTCATATGTTACAGCAAACTACAGCCAATGGTTCACTGTGAATGCGGACATTGCTCCTGCTTCAATTCTCCCTTCCAGCAAGTGGGAGCAACTAACTACAATCATTGTCTTCGCATTATGTCCTACCTGGGGATCAAGATTTGTTTTGGTTCCAATGAACCATGATTGGTAAGCCAAGAACAAATATTGGCGTAACATCTTGGTTCATTTGGAGTGAAACGAACAATGATTCCTGGTTTGGATGTAATGCTAAGTCATGGATTAAGGTTTGTTGCTTGCGCTGGCTAAAGGAGTGAAATGGGAGTCTCGTGTGTGTCCACAGAAAGTGTATGCCATTATTGGAGCACATTACTGGAAGTCATTCAATTTTCCTATAAAATCTGACTATGTGACTGTAGAATAAAGGTTATATGAAGGAAATTTGCTGGAGCTGCAGTCCAAGCAGATCCTTTCTCTCCTTATTCTGTAACAAGTTCAACATAAGGAATCATCTTCAAATTAGTTTAAGTTTCAAAAGAAACGTATCAGGCTGTTCTTTGGATTGGATTTCCCACCTCAGCATATTATGCCCCTTTCTGAAGAGGCTCAGTAATTGGTCCTGCTCACATAAAGAAACCCCCCCTCCCTGCTTGCTTGCCTGCCTGCAGCGATCTTTTCAACTTACCTAAATTTACTCGCTTAAATTGGATAAATATTGCAAATGTGCAGCTGTGCGCTTAAATTTGTCATCTGCTTTTAAAGGCATTTTGTGATACATATTTTTATTAATGGACATTGTAAGTGGAGGAAGGGTCCATTGTGTTCATAGTCATAATCCTCTGATACAGGAGCAATGAACATTCCAGGAAATACTGCATAGCATTCAGCCTTGCTGAACGTGGTTCTTTTTACATAGTAGAAATAACAATTGCCTAGTGGAAGGAACTGATCCGAGGCCTTTGGAACTGTGCCACTCCCAGAAGCATAGCCTTTAGGCTACATGTTTATGTGTGGCCCATCAAATGAGACGTGCTTCTTCTACTGAGTACTACCATTAGAAATGGGTTGTCCCCTCTCCTGCTTGTGTGGACCATAACACTCTAGATTCTGTTGTTCAGTGTCACTTAGACTGCTGGCAGTTAGAACTTCCCGGTGTCGCTCGTCAAGTTTTTGTTTCGTCATTTCCGATCTCACTTCAAAGACGTGAATTCCCAGGGTTTGCTTTTCCTTTAATTCTAAAATTAGAAGTGAGCAAAAGGCTATTCACAAGTCTACAGGTATACTCAAAGCATGGAGGGTGGAGGGGGACATGCTAAATGGAATTATGGCAAGGGATGCCTATACATGTGCAGCTGAGTTCCTGCTGATATAGAAAGTCTGCATGCACCCAGCCCCCTTGCCTATGTTCTGAGCAGCATGTGAGTTGGTGCCAGGATCCACTTAAATAATGGGGGCAGCAGGCAGTCTTCCTTTTCCTTCCACACATTGGGGTTATGTGTGAAAGGGTCTCTTATGGATGTCCCTTGTCTCTGTTCATGTACCAGTGACTGAGGTAACCAACCTTTAAATTTAAAAGGCTTGGAGTCTTCTTGCAGAGACTTTGGCAGAGGCTGTAGACCTTTCTTTCCTTTGGGATGTGCGGATGCCCTGCTCAATATAAACTGCTACTGCCGAGATGGGATTCTAAAGCTTTACGAAGAGTGAGCATTCTGTCCCAATAGAAATGTGCTCACTGATCCTTGTCCATGAGCATTTTCACTAGCACCACTGATTAAGAAATCTATTAAAAGGGCAACACATCCTCAGAAACATATCTTTAAAAGGGGGTCTGCCACATGAAAACAAAAGCATTTGTTTTTCTGCAACAACTTGGCCTCGGGCCTCTATTTGCAATGTAAGGTTTGTATACTTTCCATCTGGTGTTAATCCACTTAATATTCTTACCCTTCTACTTGAAAAAATTACTGTGTTGGAGCAAAATGGCTTCATGGCATAAAATAACCCTCTCTTTGCTGCAGTTTTCTTGCAGGAGAGGATTCCCTTGGCATGGAGAGGTTGTATATAGTGTGCTGGTTTTACAGTGATTTCATCCGTCATTTTATTACCCAAAGCCAGGGAAGAATGAGTGGCCACTGCAACGTCAGTTTGCTTACATAAGTCTTGTTGCATTAGAGAGAATTTGGTAGCTAGTTAAACAGTATAGCTAAAATGTGCTGTATTCTGCTGCACAAAAGCTCATTGCAATTTGAATCCAGTTCATTATTTTAAACACTATAGTAAAGCTGACAGTATTATTCAGTGCAGTGAGTTAATACCTATTGTCCTTTTTGAGACTTGGCAATTGGCACCAATGTTCTCCTTTTGGTACAGATTGGTACAGACTAATGGTTTTCCAAACCACTGACTAGGATCCACTAGTGGCCTCAGTGCCACAGCCTGTCCAAGGCCTCCTCACATGCCTGCCCTACCCCCTAGCCATGCCACTGCATTTGGTTGGACCAGTGCCAGCACCCATGCTGAGTACAAGTGATTGAGAAGCAGAAGTCCAGTGAGGGAGGAGGGAATGAATGTCTCCCCCCTCTGAGGAGAAAGAGCCAGAGGGAGGTGTTGAAGGAAATGAGAAACTTAAGATAAAATGCTATTGTTAATGAATATTAATAATAAATAAAATGGGAATAGAAAGGAAAGGGATAAGAGAGGAGAGCTGTTATAGGAGGGATGAATGAAAGAGGACCAGGAAGAAGCTGGCATGCTGAGGTTAGGGGTGGGGTTAAGGTCCAGTTGAGTGTGAAAGCAGAATGGGAGAAGAAATTACAGGACATGACTAAAAATAGGGTCATATGGAGGTGAGATGGGGGAAAATATAAAGGAGTAAGTCTTCTTCATGTAGAGCCTCTGGATCAGCAAATTCTACCTAAAATGAGGAGGCTGTCATAATACCTCCAGAGCAAATGTCTGTGCTTAGCTTGAGGAAACCTGAGCTATGAAACTCCTCAGTGCAATGAAAACGCTGTGACAAATAATTTAGCAATTTCCAAAGATGGATTATATATTTGTAGAAAATGATGTCAGTAATTGCCACCGGATTATGCCAAACTGCCTCTATCTGCCACCATTTTGAGATGGGCTCTGCCCCTGCCCCACCATTTTGTAACTGGTGGACCTCAGTAATTTTCAGCTATCTGAAGCAGGCCCTGGAGGTGGAAAGTTGGAGAGCCCCTGGCGTAGTCTTTTCTTGGTGGCTGTAGTTGATATGTTTTCAATTTAGCACTCAAGTTTGCATTAAATGCACTAAATGCATTCTCTAATGCAGACCATGTATCAAGATACTGTCTGTTTATGTCTAGGCACATGCCCAAAATGAATGAGTGCTTTCTCCAGTAGCCATAGTCTTATAGTGATGTACAAACATGAAGGTTGCAATCCCATTATAATAAACTGCTACCAAATCCAAGGTGTTCAGGGTTAAACTAATGTAGTAGCCTTCCTGGTGGCCAAAATGTTTTGGTGCTGCCTGAGTGAGCTGTCCCTAGTTAAACACAGAGGGTAGGATTCTTTTAGCAGAAGCCCTACTCAAGGGCTTCCGCTTGGGCAACAGGGCTTTCCACACAGCATCTCCAAAATTGGCTTGGGGTGGGTGGGAGAACCCCCAGAACAGTGCATGAGGAGGAAGGATAATTTCATTTGGCAAACTAGTTCCAACTGGCAAATTCTAGCTTAATTCTCTTTTGCCATGCTATGCAAATGCAAAACACTTTAGACTTAAGTGGAAAACTATGAAACTATGTTGGCTGTCTTCATCAGTATCACAACATAAACAATTTCTTCAGACTCTCAAACTTGTTTTGATTTTGACTTTATATTCCAATAGTTAGGTGTTGGAAATTATACTTACTACGAAAACGCTGTTTAGGGCCTTTGCATATATTCTGGCTCTGGTTTTCGAACATCCAAGCTAAAAACTTTCAGGGCCCTTGTACGCTGCTGCTCCCAAATAATTATGAGAGAGTTTAGTAACTTGACTTCTTCATCCCCCCACAATGGAAATTCTGTTCCCCAGTAGCTTCACAAAAGTTGCCTTTGGTGTAATAACTACAGTATCAGATCAGATCTGTGGAGGCAAAGCATCTTTAATAATCCAAGACGAAGCAAATGCTACATGCAGGCATATAGAAAGCTGGTGTAATATGTTTGTTTCCAATTGGTCTGACTCCCTTCAGTCATGCATACCTTTCAGTATCTGAAAATCTCAGCTCACGTCTGATAAATTAATCCCCACATACTGTATCCGTTTTATGCTGAAAAACCACACCACATGGCTCAGGGTAATCAAACAAATTTTTGAAATTGCAATTTGAATATTGCAAAGCTGCCGTCTTATTTCTCTCTCCCTTGCCAGCTTCTGTTCTGAAACCTGATCACTGCTTCTGCTGGGAGGGGTGTGAGCATGAGGGGAGGGGAGGGAACAGCCAGTGAGAGAGCGAGAGACGTTGCAAGTGTGGAGCTTGCTGCCTTTAGACAAAGCAGTCTGCTGCAGCTCTCTGAAAGGGACACATGCTTGCCTGGGAAAATACCAGAGTCCTTTTGCCTGCTTATGGAGTAGAAAGGAATCAGCCCTGGATAAGGAAAGAATCTCTGGCCAGCAAGAGCCTGCTGCTTGGAATTTGGGGATATAGATGCTGTCCCTTTGCCCAGGCTTTGTCAGAGAAGGGAGGAGGAAATCTTTTGTGAGTGCTGCATCCCTTGTGCTGCAGTATGCATTAAGAAGGCTGGCCAGCTCCCGAGCACTCATTAACACTGACTTGCTTAACAGAGGATCTTTTCTGAAGGCCAGCGTAACAGGATCTCTAACCCCTCGATTGTTCAGATAATAGCCAGCACTGCATTGTGTAGGCAGTCTGGAAAGAAAGGGGTGGAGGCTAGTTTAGGATGTTCAGAACTTCTGTTAACCACAGGGTTCAAAGACTGCAACCCCGGTGTCTTCATCAATATTTTGCAAATGCCCTTCAGTGACGGACATGCTAGGAAGACTGAGAAAATTCTGCGTGACTTGCATAGCAATTCCTCTGAGGACTGCAAAGACGTGGGCTCTGAACTTTCCTTGATTCATCAAATATCACCAGTTCTGCACAGGGAAAGTAACAAGTTCCTAGACTCTCCTCTGATGTGTGGAGGGAAGAAGAGGCGTTCCATATAGCTTCTACGGGGCTCTTGGAAGAATTTATTTCTGACTAACCGGCTGAAAGGAGGTGCCAGGACATATCTAACCCTATCTGCTGCGGAGAAAAGGGGAGGGGGCGTGTTCATCTTGCTTGGCTTTCCTCACCCCCTTAAACCAACGAGCTAAGATGCTTTGTTCTGAAAGCTGTTCATTATCTCAGTAAGGAATTTGAAGGTAGTACTTGCCTTTAGTGGAAGAAAATGAAGGACGGGCAAATACAAGTCAACAAAGAACTGGCAGGAGCAGGCATGTTGGGTGGAAAATGAGCTGACCATTTATCTTTTTGCTCAGACTGGATGCTCCGGTATACTTATTTGTTCCAGTCTAGATGTTGACGCTGGTTCCCAGCCCAGATCAGTCAATACCAGCTGTCAGGATGTCATGCATCTGGATAGGTGATAAAATGACAGGGGCAGGACTTCCAAGCTCAGGCTTGTTGTCCCTCATGCTTCCACTCCTTATAATAAAATAACAAAGAAAAGCCCGTACCATGGTTTGCCTGTTCCGGGACTGTTGGGGGAAAAAAAGTATAAATCTTTATTCTTCTACTGCAGTTTGTGTTTTTTGTTTTTGTTTTTATTTGTCTTGCATGTCTTCCTTTGGACAGCTGTTCACTAATCTGGCTGCTGCTGCTTTTCTGAACACCCATCGTGTCTGTTTGTCTCTCTCAGCTGCATGAAGATGTATTTTCTCTCTAACTGCTTTGCACCTCCAGTGCTAACAGTCTTCCTTACTGGCCTGTTGTACAAGGTAATGCATCTGAAGTTGCATGGATGCAAGCATCTGCTGGGCTGTGTTTATTTGTGAGCTGGCCCTCTCTTGTCTCTCGTGCCTGTAGCCTTGGCTTGGAATGATGCCTTGGAAAGTTTTCAGCCCCCTCAGATGAAACAAGGAGCTGACCCAGGAGTCTTGTGAGGTTTGGGATGCTTTTGCCTGGCAAGGAGCACACTTGAGCCAGAAAATCAGTGCATGTGATGCCTTGGCCCCAGGAATGGTTCTAAACAGCTTGGATTCAGAGTTTGTTTGAGTATAACCAGGAGACCGATTAACACTCTAGTTTGAACAGGACAGAAGCTTATTGTTCATGGTTTGTGTACAGAAGAGGAACTGTCTGTCAGCTAATTGTTGTACTCTGGCCTTGGTTTGGCTTCTTTATGGTAATGACTATGATGTGGCAATGCCACCTGTCTTCCTCAGAGTGCCGCTGCTACCGCCTTAATGGGTTTTCCTTTTTCAAGCGTCTGCCGATTCCTCTCTCGTCAGGTTCACGGATGCTGGAGCAGAGTGTTGGGGAGTGGCTGGAGTCCATCGGCTTACAGCAGTATGAGAGCAAACTGCTTCTCAATGGCTTTGATGATGTTCGCTTCCTGGTAAGTAGCTTTGTTGGAAAAAGTTACAAGGTTTTATTAGGACTTGCAGAGCTTACCTTTTGGAAAGCAAATTGAAACTTGTTTTGTACAATACAGATATATATTTGCATTATTTGGATCTCAGATAAAGCAGTTTATGCAGCACTGTCAGATCAAATTAAATAAGGCTGAATTCTTTTGATTGTCTGGATGAGTACAGACATAGCACACACACAAAAAAATCATTTTGGGGGGGGGAGTTCAGGTTCTCCTATGAATTCATAAAAATCCGAAACTCATAGAAAGAACATCAAGAAAGCTTTCCTAGATGAAGGGTTAAACTGAAGCTGTGTTGACACCTGGGTAGTAGCTTAGTCTTACTTTGAGAGTTGAGCTACCAGCTTCAGATGGAAATGAATGACACAAAAAATGTTTGAATTCTTTCTGCAGTTGTTAACTCCTTGAACATTTTCAGCAACCTGCAGGCTAGAGATTATGTTGCTGGAATGATTGCATATGCATGTATATTTGGGGGCTTGTTTAAATGCTGCTGCTTCAGCTGGTAAAGATGCATTCTATACTAAGTATTGCAGAAGCAAACTCCTGTGCTTTCCTCTCTAACCCATTTCACATATGTAGGATGGATCTCAACTATTTTGTTTTTGTTTAAGAACCCATTCCCAATACTTCCTGATATCTATGGACAGGACAGTTCAAAACAGAATAAGCTTTGGCCATTCTGGTTAAATTACATAATAGGTGTAGTATCCTTGCCTTGGTATTCATATCACTTAGCTGCTTAAAGCACAACATTGTTTATGCAATCATTGTTGCTGAACATTAGTTGGCCCTGTCAGCACTTAGCTAAATTAGGCTCAATCATTCATCAGCACTAGGAAGGAATAGATCCTTACCGAGGGGATCCTTGCTGAGTTTGAATTATTAACATGCCAACTTCCTTTAAGAAGTCGTTTTATGAAAGAAGCAAAGGTTTAGTATCCTAAAATGATGGGTTATCACCCTTTGGTCCATTTTCACAGAAAATGTAAACCACACATTTGCAAATCCTTAATCACAGTAGATTTTGTCAGTCTCCACCTTCCTAAAGGCAGATGCAAAGGATTTTGAATTGCTTAAAAAAGCTTGAGCATAGAAATGTCTCTCTGTTCACTTTGCTGATTTTTCAGGAAAGGTCAGTATCTAATTTCAGAATTACCTGCAGGTCCAGAGTTTGAAAACTGGTCAGATATCCCTTCCTGAACATGTTAAAACACTAGCCATGCAAAACAAGTAAATTTTCTTTTGAAATGGAGACAACTCAAATCTTTTAGCTATCAAAGTGGACTAGGCTTTCACAAAATCTTGTTAGGGTTAACCACTTCAGGTAGTGCTTTTCTTAAATAATCAGAGTAGTGTTTATTTGTTCACTTAAAGGTGTAGCCTTCACTAAGAGTTAGATTTAGGAAGATTAACAAAATATTAACTGTTTACAGTTAATAACTATTCTGTAAGTGGTGGATGACTGGAATTAATAACACCTATACAAACTGTTAGTATCATTCATACTGTCAGGGGGAAAGTATGTAGGGGACAACTTATTTATAATTGCTCCTTCTAAGCCTCTTACATGCATTTAAAATTTAAAGTTCCTCTATTTCAGACTTAAGACCACACCTGTCTTTATTGGGACTCCATTATTGCTGCCACCTTGATTTTTTAGGAAATTATACTTTATATTTTACAAAGCAGGAAAATGAAATAAAAGGAACATGGATACATTTGCCAGGCATTTTTCTTATAAACAGTGACTGTCACAATGCCCATATCCAGTAGTTTCAAAAGAAAGAGAACCAATTTAACAAAAGAAAGAGAACCAATTTACTATCTTAGTCCCATCCAGTGCAAATGATTAGATAACTTTCTCCAGCATATTTTAGATACCTCTTCTGAAATAATAATGTGGCGATATATTCGTGTCTTAATGAATGTTGGCAGACATAAATACATGTTAAATATTTTAATAAACAAAGCACTGCTAAGTGTATGGTTTATTAATTTTTGGCAGTTAACATGCTACTTTTAAACTCCTGGCTACAGAAGAAAGTAATATATTGTATTACCATATTAGTTCTGTTAAGAAGTGCTCCAAGCTTTGGGCTATTCTTCATTTCCTTTTTAAGGATCTTTCTGAAGTGGGAAGTTTTGAACCCAAATACTTGATGCAGCTTATCTGACCTAAAGGCAGATTCTTGCATAGTTGTTCATGAGGTTACATAGCTGAATAAGAATGGGGTGTCAGGTGTAACTTTTGCGCACATTAGGAACCATGTACTTGTGTGACCATTTTTCTTGCTGCAGTGCTTTTTATTACAGAATAATCAATTTCAGAAAATAGAACAGTGACATGAGAATCTTCCCTAAGCCCTTTCCATACCCATAATTACTTTCAATACCCTGGACAGCTCCCATATAGTACATGGTATATAACCCCAAATAAAGGGCTGTGTGACAGAAAAATGGATGTTGGTTACATTCTTTCATTGGGATATTTTGAGTTACAAATATTCTCCTTTTGGTTTGGTAGAAGAAGTGTAGGATTACAACTGCTTCTTTGTGTAGCAAGAGTAGCATGTTTGCATGCTGCACTTCATTTAAAGTGATCTCTTCCTCAAGGATTGTAAGATTAAATTTTTATGATATGATCCCTGTGCAAGTTTCTACATTTCTTGGAAGCAATAGAAGATGTTTCTCTTTAGAGTTTTAGTTGAGTTCCATGGATGGCTAGTTCAACCTATATATGTATATAAAGGGCATCATTCCAATTCTGATTTTCATTTATAGTATTTTTTGACTTTAAAGAACACATTTCAGGGATTGAATCACTGCAACTCTGTTCTCTACACCCCAGAGCTGTTTGATGTTCACAAGAAAGCCTAACATTGCTTCTGCACCTATTTTAAAGTGGTTGGTGGAATCCATTTTTTCTTTCATAGTGATGCCTTTAAGGGTACCTTTTTCAGTAACAGCTTAGTTCATAATTCTTCCATTATCTGTTACAATATGTACATGCTTAACAGATTTAAGTTTTAGCCAAATAAGAAAGTAAAGAATCATAAATTATCCTTATTTTCCTCATCAGTGTTAGTAGTTTTTCACATCTGGCTTTTGGTTTTCATAACTGAATAAAGCTGCAACAAAAGGAGTTCACTTTTGAAAGTCAGTTTCTTTTTCCTAGTCCAGAATCTAAGCATATGCATGTTAACTACATAGTTCATAGTCCAAAACTACTTATTAGATTTCACAAAGGGTTCAGACAGCATAAGCCAGTTGGGACAGAATTCTCTAGAAAATTCTGTTGCTTCATTTCATATTTTGCCAACACAGATTTTTCAGATTTTTGTTAAACTGAATAATGCGTTTGTGAGCTTATATGATTCTTAAGGATTGGCACAGATCAAAAGGGCTGCATTAAATCTCACTGTCACAGAGGCTAGCAACGCATGTTAGGTAATGGGTTGCACTTTGCCAGATAGACTATTAGGCTAATTGCTTTAGCAATAATAAAAATTAAGTTGGGGTTTTTAAAAATAGAACGTAGGCTAAATTATGTGAGATTCTGGGTTGAACTATCCAAGATACTGCACAATTTTTCTTTCTGCTTAGAACTATATCAATAGCTCAACAATGGGGCAAGATGTCTGAAGAGGATGTATAATCTTCTGTTTTCAAAGAAAAGCTGGACAAGTGCTTGAAATATATGTCCTGCTTTATGGAAGGAGGTAAATTAGGTGAAGCACACGCACACACACACCTTCCTGATGCTGTCCAGTTGTGTTTTTCTTTTTCTTTTTTTAAAAAGTATCAGAAATATCTTTCCTCAGACAGGATCAAATATCTCAGGCATTGAAAGTAATATTAGTGTGAAATGCATTTTGCCAGAGCTGGACAAATGCTGTTTTTGTTCTGTTTAAAGTTCCTACTTTATTGGCTTCCTCGTGAATATACTCAAATTAAGAGTTATGCATCTGTTGTGGGGAAAACAGTTTCCAAAATAAGTGCTGATATGGTGGTTGAGAAAAGATGTCATGTTGTGAAAGCTATAGCTACCACATGTAAATAATATTTCATTTTTAGTTAGGATGTTGGGCGTATGATAGACAAGTGGGGACTCACAATCATGCATGGTGTGTGTAGGAAGTGGTGTGATTAGACTCTGGGGATGAGATGGAAAGGTGAAACGGTAGGCTTCCTCTGTCCTCCTGTTTGGAAGAAGTACCTTTGCAAACTCTTTTTCAAAAAGAGGACCTGGAAGTTGCCATTTCTGCCTCAGCCATCACAACTTGCTTCCTTAGAAACCAAATAGCATGTAGGCACTAGCCCTGGCTGCTGGCACCTGGGATCTACACTAGACTGAAGGAAACATGGCAGTGCAACCTTCTGGTTTCTGTAGAAACTTACTTTGAACACTTCTGTTTTAGATAAGGATATGGATAAGTACTGTCTGCTGCCCTTCCAATTTGCCACTTTTCATGTCCAGACAAAGACCAAGTTGGTGGTAAATAGAAGTTGGTGGTAAATAGAAAGATTACCAAATAAGTATCATGATTGCATGCAACAAAGGAATCACTATATACGGGAATTGCTATGACACCCAAAAATAATTTACAGCTTGCATTTCTCTATCTATGATCCACTTCAAAAGAGCAATTCACTTAAAATTCACCACAATCAGGTGTGTTCTGGTCACCTTCAGCCTTGACTACTGTAACATGCTCATGGGGCTGCCCTTGAAACGTGTCCAGAACCTTCAGCTGGTACAAAACACCACCTCCAGGTTATTTATTGGAACAGGTCGGTCAGAGCATATTACTCCAATACTGCTTGATCTGCCCTGGTTGTATGTTCACTTCCAGGCTTGATTCAAGGTGTGCCTATTTCTGTTATGTGTCAGTTTAGCATGCATTCAATCTTAAGTTTGTTTCATCCCTTTTCTGCTGGTTTTTTTTAAATAAAAAAAAAGACTTCATCAGAATTTTGCATTTAAATTCCATGCATTTCTGTATGGATTTTCCCTATGTAAGCTTTACCTTCATAATATATACATTTTGTATACTTTTCTATGCATTTCACCCTAGATAATTCGTTTTTGAACAAGTGGCATACAGCTTGGAAGAGAATAGCTGCAGAGCATTAGAACTGGAGTCTGCCTACATTTTTCTGTGAAAAGTCACTACTCCCGAAATGGCATATTTTGTTTGGGAAGAGACAGTAATGGAATTCAGATTCTTTCTTTCTCTAGCTTAGTGCTGTTAGCTGCTAAGCAATGCTACATGCAGTTGTTTGATAACAGGAGGTTACAAGATGGGGCTGCATTAATTCAGTAACATGTTACTATCTCTGATCATTGATTTAATGGACAACCTGAGGCAGCCTCTTTGCAAGTTGTATATTGGTATACAGTTTAGTGATTATACTGATAATAGTTTTTTTAAAAATAAAAATAAAATATTATGTAATGTACAAAGAAGACAACTCAGGTTTTTTAAAACACACACACACACACACACACACACACACACACTGGACAATGTCACACCAGCCTTTATGCAGTCAAAATTCTAATCCCACAGTAACACCTGTTGGGATTGGTACTGCTATTGGAACTTGACAAGGCAAGTTTATGGGTGGCACATGTATAAAAGCTCTGGATGAAGCAGCCACGGTGTAGTTAAAATATACAGTGGTACCTCAGGTTACATACGCTTCAGGTTACACACTCCGCTAACCCAGAAATAATGCTTCAGGTTAAGAACTTTGCTTCAGGATGAGAACAGAAATCGTGCTCCAGCAGCAGGCCCCATTAGCTAAAGTGGTGCTTCAGGTTAAGAACAGTTTCAGGTTAAGTACAGACCTCTGGAACAAATTAAGTACTTAACCCGAGGTACCACTGTAAATCCCCTTGCTTTGTTTATATTCAGTCATCTGCATATGTTCAATATATAGTAGGTTTGTTCTTGGTTTGTTTCTGGCTTACTGCTCATGGCTTGTTTGAAACAAACAATTTATGGTCTGGGTTCACATGACATAATAAGCCATACTGTGATTTATTTGTGCCTCGGTGGCTAGGCGCCTATTGGTCCAAACTGTAGTAAACATGAAGATTGCATTTTCCTTGCTTTTCACTCAGAGGTTATCCCTCCTCCCCCACCCCCCAAAAACTGTAGCATTGTCCTTATTATGCAATCTAGCTGTAGTATGGTGATTAGAGAATTGGACTTTAAACTGGGTGTTTTGAGAAGAAAATTAGAGGGTAACAACGTGTGCTACCTTTAGCTTCTTGGGGGAAAGACAGGGTGTAAATGTAGTTAATAGTGGTAATAGCTGAAATTATAAACTTAAATTAGGATCTAGTTCAGTGTGCATGGTGGAAGCTTTTCGTACAGCAATGTACTCCTTAAAGCCAAGTGAAAAAATAAAAACCTTCATGGGTAGAGAATGAATGTCTGCCACTGTTTTTGGTTATTAGGAACAGGTAACAGCTGCTATTTGAGTTTACCAAAATCGGCATACTAGAAACAGTTCTGAGTTCGTGATGGGAGGGGTAATATGTACCACATCCCAACACAGGTCCATCCCTTTACATCTTTCTTTAGGTACATTAAGCCATTACATTTTTGTTTCTTTACTTTTTGCCTCTTCCCCTTTCTGCTACTGAACTTCCCATAAAAGTGTGGCGTGCAACAATGATTCAATGAGACTTTGTCAGAAGCAAATCTGTTCTCCTCATGTAGTGCCCTAGGCTCCTCTGGCTTCATTTTTAATTGGAGGAATGAGGTAAAAATTGAGGGCATTAAAGTACGGGATGTTTGCAAATAATTTGAAGTTCTGACATTAATTTGACTAAATGCAATTTACTGTCAAGTCTGATTAGCCTGCAGTGATCGTTACCAGGCTCACTTGTTCATGGTATTCCCCCCTTTCTTACATTCAGCAGTCGAATTTAGAGCCATAGAAACACTGGATACAATAGCATAAATGCCTGCCCCATCTTGTCTAAATTAAATGTGCAGAGTCTGTGTAGAGAGCAATAACCTAAGACTATTTGCCTTCTACCAGAGAGAGCGCGCATGGTTTCTATAGGGAGATCTCGATTAATTTGTGTACAATCCATTCCTTTATAGCCAAAATCAGGGCAAAACTACACAATTTTCACTGAATAAAATTGTTTTCTCCCTTAAGCCATTTGCCCTGATAAGAGAAGCATGGGTGTGTTTCACAAAGGGGAAACCAGCAGCTTTGGTGGTGGAGAAATACTGCTGCTTACAGAAATTTAATAAAAAGTTTACTAAGTGGCTTGTGCATTTTCATTGTCCCATATAGTTTGACCTCAAGATTAGAAATTTCCCTGTCTTCTTTTGTAAGACCCCAGCATATTATCCAAAAAACCTGTCAGATAGAAGCGAAATCATATAATGTATGTTACCAAGTTAGCCTGAAGCCCTAGACCTTTCCTATATTAGCAATGATACATTTCACAGAAGTAATCTGCTTTTCAACCCGCACTGATCCTGTTTTGAATTAAATTAACACTACTGACTCTCAACCTTCCTGCATTTCTTAGGCCTCATGGCTGTGTCTGCCTTCTCATAATATAAATATGCGAATCAAAATCTGCTGAGAAACAATGTGTTGGAATAGACTATTTGTGGTTGTTTGTGGGATTTTTCTCATTGAACAGCTGCCACTGGTCCAATCCCATACTACACAATTAGCTGCTTTTTAAACTCAAGTATGTTTCAAAAAACAGTTTGAAACGAGGGTACAATAATTCTAACTAGCTAACTATTGGTCATGCCCAAGTCCTAAGGCATGCATACAGATCATGGCCAATGCATTTTTTAAATACTTGAATTCTTTGAATTAATCCATAATTGCCTGTCTCTTAGTGCAGACCCAGGTCATTGAGCCTGAGCTTGCACAGCCACCGCCTGTCATGCACTACCATTGGCAGGATTGGCAGCAAAAGCAGCTTGTTCTAGGCTTGTGATATCTTACCCTCTTGCTACTTAGGCTGCTTTAAATGTGCATTTTGTTTGACTTCCTTTAGTAATGATTTCTTTTGAAATGTTTAAGATAATATTTTTTGTTTGCTGCATTAGATGTGCATTCTGTAGTTTACCTCCTTTGAAATGTTTTATTTTGAAATCTTTAAGATAATATTTTTGTTTCCTGTTATTCTGTATTGTTTTATTTGACACTTTAATGTAGGTTGTAAACTTCTTTGAGGGTTTTTTCTTTCAAATGCAAAGCAGTATAGAAAATGAAATGAATAATAACAATAATAATTGCAGAAGTAACTTGCATACAAGAGAATGTTATGTTTTAGCTGCATTCTGAAAAAGTGGAATGTTATTGTGGACATGTCTCTGCATGCTGGTTTTATATATTCCTTACACTTCCTTTCCATCTGCTATAGAAATAAGAAATACTCCTCTTCTGAAACATAACATGCTATATTTAAGGCACAATCATATGTAGTCTCTGGGGAAATAGTTTTGCCCTCACAGTAGATTATTTCCCATATGAGAAGCATATGTATGTTCATAGTTCCCTGTTCCAAGATATCCCAAGGCCAATAACAAATGCTTTCTTTCTCATGTCCTTCCTACTAAAATGTAGCTTGAAAGTTCTGGAGACTCACACTTGGAAGGAATAATTTGTGTTGAAGGTTATCAATTGACCACTCGTTACTCTAAAAAAAAAACAGCACTTGGAGGCATGACTAAAATTCACAAACCCACAATAAATCTGAATCAGTACGGTTGTTTCATTTTTGCTCAATATATTTTGTAACATTGGCAATGCTACAGTGGTGATCAACTAAGGATTGTCATATGTCACTGGTGTAAATGAAGGGTAAAAAAATTAACTGTCACTTTACAAGCATTTGTTTGCCCCAAAGCTTCTGATGAATCAAATATAAACTTTCAACTGTCAGCTTTGGTTCACTTCACACTTTTCAAGCATACAATATCTCAGGATGCTAGCAACTAGGGTTCATATTAGTTAAACTGCAGTTAGGAGGGGATGCAAGAAGGACATACTAGGAATGAAAGTTTAACTTCTCATGGTTATGGGAAATGGCTTGTACTCCAATTCTGTTCTTATTTTTGTTTTACTTGACTCACTACGATGCTGTCCGTGGATGCCTTGTGACTATAGGGAATATACTTGACCCTACCCTATCCACTTCCTCTTCTGCCTTCTCCAACCCCCTATGCACCCTCAAAATCAGCTCTGTAGGTTTGAGGAACCCTCCAGAGCAGTTTTTTTGGGCACATGGGGGAGGAGAGGAAATGGAAGTCTCAGTACAAACCAGAAGGAATGATGGGAGATTCCCACCATTGTAGTGGCATAGGGAGATGATAAAATCAGTTTTGTATGAATGGAATTAGAAAGGTTTCAATATCCACTTAGGAGAAAAGGAGTGACAGATGACGTGCCTAATACTTTGAACATACAG